AAGAAGAAGAATAAGAATTCAGCATCAAAGAAACAAAGGCTGGAAGGGAAACTATTTGCATCAAAAATAAAGACAAATAATCAAATAATAACCATATCACAGTTTATCCAAATCGCTAAAGAAGGTCAGATGCCTTTAATCTCAGCACTCAGGAGGCAGAGGCAGGTGGATCTCTGTGAGTTCAAGGCCAACCTGGTCTACATAGTTTCAGGACAGCTGGGGCTCAAAAAAATTTTTTTCAAATATTTTATTTATTAGTTTTATCATAGGTGTATGAATGTATTGCCTGCATGTATGTAAGTGCACCTGTATCATGCAATGCCCTCAGAGGTCAGAAGACAGTGTTGGATCCCCTAGAACTGGAATTACAGACAGTTGTTAGCCACCAGGGGGGTGATGGGAATTGAACTTGGGTCCTCTACAAGAGCTGCCAGTGCTCTTAACTGCTGAGCCACCTCTCCAGCCCCTGGTAGGACATATTTCTAAACTTGCTAAAGCAAAGACCATGTGCATTTTAAATTTGGTGAGACAACATTCTGTCTCCTTCCAGGAAGTTGTACCAATTCACAGTGACTGTGAAGGCCTCTGTCCTTAAAGGACCATCCAGCCTACACACCCATGACACCTTGGAGCACTCCCAGAGGGACAAAGTACAGGCCTTATAACCAGGTTTTAGAAACCGAGGCTCAGAGAAGCGAGTGTCTCATAGAGCAGTCAGATACTTTCTAGAATTTCAATCCAGGAGCATAACTCAAGAATGGAGAAGGCAGGTCCTCAGAGGCCACTCACAGATTGCACACTGCTACAAGCAGGGCCCTGGGTGGAGACCCTCCTGCGAACACCCGCTCCCCCGAGGAGGGTCAGCTGACCTGTGCCAGCGTCCCCATTCAAGGCCCACCTGATACCGGAGCTCCTGCCTGGGGACCCTTGATTAACGGGTCCATCCTGGGCAACTGGTCCATCCTGGGCCAGCTCCCACCTTTAAAACGTTGGAAACCTTCTCCCCGGGAGGAGGCTGGACACCGACGCGGTTGCCCCATGCCCCAGCCTGGGAAGTCCCTCGTTAGGCTTTTCAAAACCGGACAAAACCAGACCCTCCTGCGAGATGGCCCTTCCTAGACGCCTCAGAGCAGGGGCCTCTCGGACGACGACCTCAAGGGGCCTCCGTGGCCTCTCCTAGGGCGGCCTCTGGAGCCCGGAGAACCGGGTTCGTTTGACCCGACCGCAACGCTCGGGCGCCATCTTTCGTCCGTTCCGCAGGCCTCGTAATGGTAGCCTGGAAACTACATTTCCCAGAGTGCTTACCGCGTCTGAGCAGGCGCAAAGAGCGGCCTCTCGTTTCCAGTGGAACTTCGTCCTCCCCGGAGTCCAGGCTGTTCAGTTCCGAGTTTGGGTGTTACTCCCTGAGGTTCAAAAGAGCTAGAATAGGGTCTGCAGACAGTCACGTCATCCCGCTGCCACCGACAAGTACCCCCGAGCGCGACCCGATGCGGACAGCGGGCGGAGGAGGGCGGGCGCGGAGAGGGCACGTGAAAATAGCGGGGCGCCTGTCTCAGAAATGACTCAGGATGGCCCCCAACTTCAGCGTCAGTTTCTGGTTCCCAGCCCAACACGACCGGCTTTCACTGGAATTCTCTTGTACACTTCTATTTGCAGAGTGGTCCTTGGCTTCGTTACCCAGAAGGCAAATCCCTTTATTTCCTTGACACCCCGCCCCCCCGTAGCTGTAAAAGAAGGAACTTGAAGCAAATAATTTGTTTATTTAACGGACGTCAGAAGAGGGCATCAGATCCCTGGAATTGGAGTTACAGACTTGTTAGCAGCCATGTGGGTGCTGGGAACCTGTCCTGGGTCCTCTGGAAGAGCAGCCAGTGCTCTTAAGTGCTGAACCATTTCTCCTGCCGGCAAATAATTTCTAGGGTGTTTCCTGGCTGTGCCCTTTACAGCTAAGTTCAGTGCCCCTCCTTGTACACTAAGTGCAAGAACAAAGTAAGGACTCTGGGATGGTTTGAGCAAGGATCTCAGCTTGGGATGTGAGTCACTGAAACTTGGATTTGTGATTTGGATACAGACTGACCCATGCTGGTTTCCTCATGTGTTCAACTGAGGACAGTTGAGGATACTACCACCTCAGGTTTATAAGGATTAAATAAGTCTGGACTGGAGAGAGCGCTCAGTGGTTAAGAGCACTGGCTGCTCTTGTAGAGGACCCGGGTTTGGTTCCCAACACCCACATGACGGTTAACAACCATCTGTAACTCCAGTTCCAAAGGATCCAACACCCTCTTCTGGCCTCCATGGACACTTCCTGAGGTGGTACACTTAAATACATGCATGCAAAACACAGACAAAATTAAAATAAATAAAAAATTTGAAAATAAGTAATATTTTTAGTCAGGCATCTACATAAGTAAGCACTATTCTAAGTCCACATCTCTTGATATTTTTAAAAACATTCCTGAGCCCTTTTCCTGATATTTGAGTCACTTATTTCTGGGCACATCCATTCTAGGCAGGATGATGTATTTATGGGCTGATTGTGATGGGAAAACTTGAGTCTTCTCACCCAAGGTTAAACACTGAAGGTCAGTGCATCTTTTCTTCATCTGTCATCCAGATTATATCACCAGCACTCAGAATCTAGGGCGGATCCAACGTCCAACATCATGTAGCAGGGAAGAAACTTTTCCTTCCTGAAGATTCTTAGGGGATGTGAATGCTTACATGTCATACAGAAGCAACTGGGTATTCTATATACTGTAATCTAGAGCCTCCATGGCTTCACAAGGAAGCTTCACAAACATCTTGTGGAAGCTAGTTTATGAACAT